GTCTGTGCAGGGTACATGGAGAAAAGGAGGGGGGCTGTGCAGGGTACATGGGGAAAGGGAGAGGGGCTGCACAGGGTACATAAGAAAGGGAGGGTGGATGTGCAGGGTACATGGAGAGAGGGAGGGAGTCTGTGCAGGGTACATGGAGAATAGGAGGGGGGATGTGCAGGGTACATGGAGAAAGGGAGAGGGGCTGCACAGGGTACATGAGAAAGGGAGGGTGGATGTGCAGGATATATGGAAGAAGGTAGGGAGGGGGGCTGTGCAGTGTACGTGGAGAGGGTCTGTGCAGGGTACATGGAGGTGGGAGCTGTGCAGGGTATAATGGAGAGAGGGGAGCTGTGCAGGGTATAATGGAGGGAGGGGGGCTGTGCAGGGTATAATGGAGGGAGGGAGGGGGCTGTGCAGGGTATAATAGTGTGCAGGGTATAATAGAGGGGAGGGAGGGAGGGGGGCTGTGCAGGGTATAATGGAGGGAGGGGGGCTGTGCAGGGTATAATAGAGGGAGGGAGGGGGGCTGTGCAGGGTATAATAGAGGGAGGGGGCTGTGAGAAATACAGGGAGGGAAGTATAAAATATTAACAAAGCACATACCTGGTCTCTGCAAGGTTGCTCCTAATCTTCAGCACTCCGCAGGACAGAAGAGTGAGCACAGGAAGTGACTTCACTTTCTATCCTCTGGCCCTGCCTCTTCCCTTCTCATGCAGAGTACAGCACGAGGAGACCTGGCAAAGCAGGATGGCTGCCTGGCCTAACTCTGAAGGGATAGGGGGGAGGACACTACACTTGAAATATGGGAGGGAGGATCAAAGATAGATCTCCCCAGCCAGAGCATGGCTGTACTGCCGGGCCCCTAACTGGCACGGGCCCTCAGTCCACGACCGATCTGCCCGACCTGGCAGTCTGCCCCTGGGTGGGTAAGGTGCCGAGGTTTCATGTCTTATGCCTCGCTTACTTAACAGTGACTTAAAACTATTTGCTGTGAACTCAGTACCATTGTCTGATCTTATACGTTTTATGACTCTAAATAGAACTGTGTCAGCATTAAGCCTTTCCGTGGCTACCACTGCATCACTCTTGTTTTTTAGAAAATATACAGCACCAGAGTAATCATCAGTGAATGCTATTGTATATATGAAACCCTCTTTAGCTTGTGAGTCTATAGGACCTGCCAAATCAGTGTGTGCTAGTTCTAATCTAGCTGTTGCTCTGGTATCAGGTTATCTGTTCCTACTCTGAACAAATTTTCCCTGAGTGCAAACTTCACAGTTTAGATTAGACTTAGCAATCTTACCCTTAATTTTCATTCCTTCTACCACATTTTGTAGTTTTGCACGTTTCATGCCACGTTTGAATATCATAACATCCATGACAACTGTCATTATTTTCAATGAAAGTATTCAGATAGTAAAGTCTATTGTACTTCTGAATTGTGAATTTTGTACCGTTCTTATGTATGAGTTCATTCCTGCCTTGCTGGAAGCTGACTGATGCTCCACTGTTTGTTGCTTTATCTACAGAGAAGATTTCTTGAGGGTATGAAGGTATGTACAACACATTCTTCAGGGTCATAATCATTCGGTTCCCCTCGCTGTCAAGAAGACAAACCTCTGCATTGCCTCTTCTCAGCGCCACACTGGTTGTCTTTTTTCGTCTGCAATTTGCATCTTTGTGTGTTGAGCTCTTGCGATAGCTAGACCACGGTGATTGACCTTTATTTTGAATGTTTGAACACGCTCTGGCCCTGTGTCCTTTTTGGCTGCAATTGTAACAAACAATGTTAGAGTTGTCTCTCACTTTAAACCTTAGAGTAGCGTTACTTACTTTTAAAGGACCACTCGGTTTCCTGGCACTATACAGGGAGTGCAGAATTATTAGGCAAATGAGTATTTTGACCACATCATCCTCTTTATGCATGTTGTCTTACTCCAAGCTGTATAGGCTCGAAAGCCTACTACCAATTAAGCATATTAGGTGATGTGCATCTCTGTAATGAGAAGGGGTGTGGTCTAATGACATCAACACCCTATATCAGGTGTGCATAATTATTAGGCAACTTCCTTTCCTTTGGCAAAATGGGTCAAAAGAAGGACTTGACAGGCTCAGAAAAGTCAAAAATAGTGAGATATCTTGCAGAGGGATGCAGCACTCTTAAAATTGCAAAGCTTCTGAAGCGTGATCATCGAACAATCAAGCGTTTCATTCAAAATAGTCAACAGGGTCGCAAGAAGCGTGTGGAAAAACCAAGGCGCAAAATAACTGCCCATGAACTGAGAAAAGTCAAGCGTGCAGCTGCCACGATGCCACTTGCCACCAGTTTGGCCATATTTCAGAGCTGCAACATCACTGGAGTGCCCAAAAGCACAAGGTGTGCAATACTCAGAGACATGGCCAAGGTAAGAAAGGCTGAAAGACGACCACCACTGAACAAGACACACAAGCTGAAACGTCAAGACTGGGCCAAGAAATATCTCAAGACTGATTTTTCTAAGGTTTTATGGACTGATGAAATGAGAGTGAGTCTTGATGGGCCAGATGGATGGGCCCGTGGCTGGATTGGTAAAGGGCAGAGAGCTCCAGTCCGACTCAGACGCCAGCAAGGTGGAGGTGGAGTACTGGTTTGGGCTGGTATCATCAAAGATGAGCTTGTGGGGCCTTTTCGGGTTGAGGATGGAGTCAAGCTCAACTCCCAGTCCTACTGCCAGTTCCTGGAAGACACCTTCTTCAAGCAGTGGTACAGGAAGAAGTCTGCATCCTTCAAGAAAAACATGATTTTCATGCAGGACAATGCTCCATCACACGCGTCCAAGTACTCCACAGCGTGGCTGGCAAGAAAGGGTATAAAAGAAGAAAATCTAATGACATGGCCTCCTTGTTCACCTGATCTGAACCCCATTGAGAACCTGTGGTCCATCATCAAATGTGAGATTTACAAGGAGGGAAAACAGTACACCTCTCTGAACAGTGTCTGGGAGGCTGTGGTTGCTGCTGCACGCAATGTTGATGGTGAACAGATCAAAACACTGACAGAATCCATGGATGGCAGGCTTTTGAGTGTCCTTGCAAAGAAAGGTGGCTATATTGGTCACTGATTTGTTTTTGTTTTGTTTTTGAATGTCAGAAATGTATATTTGTGAATGTTGAGATGTTATATTGGTTTCACTGGTAATAATAAATAATTGAAATGGGTATATATTTGTTTTTTGTTAAGTTGCCTAATAATTATGCACAGTAATAGTCACCTGCACACACAGATATCCCCCTAACATAGCTATAACTAAAAACAAACTAAAAACTACTTCCAAAAATATTCAGCTTTGATATTAATGAGTTTTTTGGGTTCATTGAGAACATGGTTGTTGTTCAATAATAAAATTAATCCTCAAAAATACAACTTGCCTAATAATTCTGCACTCCCTGTAGTGTAAATAGGTCCCCCCCCACCCTCATGGCCCCCCTCCTGCCATGCTGGAATTGGAGGAAGGGGTTAAAATCCTACCTTTCTCCCTCGGCGCTGGGGACTCTCCACCTCCTTCCAACGTCATCGTCTGAATGCGCATGTGCGGCAAGAGCCGAGCGCGCATTCAGTCAGTCTATATGAAAGCATTCTCAATGCTTTCCTATGGAGGCTGGTGTCTTATCACTGTGAAAATCACAGTGAAAAGCGTGGAAGCGCCTCTAGCGGCTATCAATGAGACAGCCACTAGAGGCTGGACTAACCCATATGGAAACATAGCAATTTTTCTGAAACTGCTATGTTTACAGCAGGCAGGGTTAACACTAGATGGACCTGGCACCCAGACCACTTCATTAAGCTGAAGTCGTCTGGGTGCCTATAGTGGTCCTTTAATACATTATCATTATTTGCACTAGTGGAGTATTTTTCAGTATCCAAAAAACTTCTTAGCTTTGTTTTAAACTGTGAAAAAGTTACTTTCCCATCTCCCTGTGTAATGTGGATGGCAAACAGTTTAAATAATTCAGGCAAACCTATCAAAGTTATTGCAATCAACAGTCCTTCACTTAATGTTTCTCCAGCATTTCTCAGTGCTGTAATAGCTGTCTCTGCACGTATAATGTAGTCTGTCATACTCTCATTTAGAGACTTCTGAAGAGATGTTAGTTCAGTGTTTAACCCCTTAAAACCGGAGGACGTACAATTACGCCCTCTAATAGGCGGCTCTAAACGCCGCCGGGCGTAATTGTACGCCCTCCGGTTTTTGTTAACTTAAACGGTCGCCGGTGGTCCCACGCCGGCGATCGCGGTTGGGGGGACTCCCAGGGAGCCCCCCGCGGCAC